TAATTTTAATAATTTTAATAATTTTAATAATTTTAATAATTTTAATAATTTTAATAATTTTAATAATTTTAATAATTATTCCGTTATAAAAAACTTCAATTATTAGCAATTCATTTACTTAGAATTAATATAAACACTAAAAAACCTAAATATATACCTAAAATATCATTGCCTATATTAGGTATAGGTGCTATGATTCTCTGTCTACGTCTCCGCACGATACGTAGCCGTCCAGTTTGATGTCTATTTCATATGTAGTAGGTTACATTGACGTTCAAAATTATGATCACTAAGATATCACCAAGATAAAAATGAATTAATACTCACAAAAAAATTACAAATGCCATGAAATACAACAAAATCATCCGTTCTGTGCTGGCATTTTGTGAAAAAATATATACCAGGAAACCAAGCTTTACAATCAACCACAAGGTAGCCGCTCTGCGTTGATTTCTTGCCGCGACGTCTTGTTGAGGCTCTGGAATCTGAGCAACTAAAGGTTGTTGCGCTTGTGCACCAGTTTGTGGTGTAGGCATGTAGGGATATGGATACATATACCGATACGGATAATGTATCGGTGCAATGTAGGGCATTCCACTGAAATAATTTGTTGTTAGTTAAATTTTTAAAATAAAAATAAAAAAAATAAATTAAAAAATAAATTAAAAAATAAAAAGGAACTCTAATTACAAGTAATCTTACTTTATCATAACGTAATAATATTGCAAAGGTAGTCCTATTGGATAGTAATTTGGATTTACGGGAATATCATTCTGCTGCTGTGAATACTGTGAATACTGTGAATACTGCTGTTGTAAGTACGTATGTGCATGTTCTGAAGGTGGAACAAAATATGGCATGTTAAGATTCGGAGGTTGTTGGGCAAATTCAGTTAAGCCTGTAAAGCCTGTAGTACCAAAATTTTGATCTGTTAAAGGTGTAGCTATTCGTGCATTGGTTGTAGATGTCGGGCGAGATACAGGTATCCCGGTGGTTTCAGCGGACGTCTGAAACGAAGGCTTGACAACCAAATGAAAAATTTGGTCTGTTTCCAGCTCACTTCGCAAAACGTTTATGATAGTGTCAGTATCATTTAGCACCCTTCCTCTGTAGATCAACCTTTGATCTCGAACATTTGGTTTAGTAGGATGAGTCTCGAAGATGGTTCGTTTCAAAGTAAGAACCGACGAGTCAAGACTAGTTAATATGGAAAAGTCATCGGGTAACGAGGTAGTAGGCGAACGAATGAATATTCTAACTTTGCCACATTCACCACTAAAGTTGGAAGAATCACTGCTTGAGGACGTCGCCGGTTCAGACATTGAATTGAAAATTGTATATTTTCTAAGGGATAAACTAAAACTACGCTTCTCAAAAATTTTCAATCGGAAATATTTATGTAAGACTAAATACATATCACGTGAGCAACTAGCTATCGTGTACCTTTCTGATTCATCCTTTTTTTTTTTTTTAACACTGGTTTAGTTATTATTGGTTGACACGTCAGATTATCAATATATAATATACTTTCTATTTAACACACGTGAGTCCTAAATCATTTTATAATCTTACGCCTTTGAGAAACATTGCTTCACGAAAAATTCCCTCAAGTTCAACAGCAGACTTGTAAAAGATAGTATCCGATTTGTTATAAATCTTGGCATTGTTCCAGATTTTTTGCATATCAGTTGCAAATTCTAAAAGTGACCGATACCTGTTATTTTCAATACGTTTCAAAACGGTTGAAAGGTCCATAGGATCCTTGATTATATCGTAATAGTCAGGAACATCATCTCCGTTTACAGGTTCATGAAATGGTAATGATGATGGATGGCTTTTTAATCGATTTAGTATTTCTTTCATAACAACATAATGTGACATATTCTTAATGTCTTTCGCCTGTTTTTCCAATTGCGGTGTCCATCCAGATATTCTAATTCCCGGCACCGACATCGGATCTACAGACTTGACACCATTTTTAAAACATTCTAAGCCACGATAAATAATTGGAGGCTTGCACGTTTGAGCTATTTTATTTTTCACCGCTTGCTTTTGCTTTTCCAGGATTTGTCGAATCTGTCTATACTTTACTTTTGGTATTAAAGTACACTAACCAATTTTTTTATGAATTCAAGAAGGATAAGCCATAAATATATTGCTAAATTGCTAAAATAAAATAAAATAATAATAATAAATAATAAAACAGATTCAATTTAATCACATTATATACCTGCATGAGAGTCGCTCCTGTATAATCTTTCAAGTGTCCACCCCATATGTCTTGATCTAACGTGATTTCGTCAGTAAATCCGTTTTTTCGAAAAAATCCAACAGCAAAATCATCTGCATAAACCATGAATTGTGTAATATTAAATGTATCTTTTATATAGTCCTTAAAGTAATTCATCAATTTTGTGCCATATCCTTTTACTTGTTGATCACTATCCACTGCGAAAAATACTATTTCAATAAATGATTTCTCCAAAAAAGGTCGATAGCAAATTCCTCCCACAACTTTTATAGGATCCCTCACTATCGCCAAACTATAATGATTACGATCATAGACGACCCGAGCAATGTATTGTGCCGGCATATGTGGTAGCGCAGTTGCAAACAATTCTTTTATTCCGGTCAATAATAGTAAATTATCACGAGAGCCATCGTTGTTGAGAAGACGTAATCTAGTACCATATTGCTGCTCCTCTAAATGAGCTGTGTTTTCATTCCCCATATCCTTGTCCACCGACTCAATTTTAAGTTAAGATTGATTAAATGAAATTATTTTCTTTCTTAAATCATGAATTCATTCCTATGATTGGTTAATTTTCGTAGATCTACCCGTGATTTCACGTAATAATCAACCAATCAAAATACATAATTTTTACGAAGATTTACTACTAGAAAACGAGAAAAACCTCATATGAAGTAACTCACAAACTTATAAATACACGTAAAAAAATTTATCATATATACTTTAGAGCATCAGTAGATACGCGCAAAGTGGGGATATATGTGTTATTTATTAAAATATAAATCAAAATTTTGATTTACGTTTGACTAACCCAAACATACTAAAAGAACGACCAAATTTAAACATTAAACCTGGTCTCCTATCACTAGTGAGCTTGTACCTATTCAACTTAAGACGTTAGCAATAAACTTTTATTTAAATCTAACGTAATAAAGTAGTTTTAAACGAAAACCTTTCCAGTTACTTTACTGTACAGTATAATTACGCGTGGTCCAATAACGGTGGTATATTTTGTCTTCTAAGTAAAGTAAGTCGGGAGGCAGATTCTTTTCGGATTCTTTTGCACAGTAAATATTAACGTTCTTCTTAATACTAAGAATGCGATTTTTTTTAGCGAAACATTACGTTCTCAAAAAGTACTTTAAAGTAATTGATTTGCATCAGCCAATCAGACGAATGTCCTTCCATGAATTCAAAATCCATTAACTTTCCTTGTTTCTCCAAGTGCCCATCAATTTGGACGGTGATGTCCCAAAGTTTATATACCTCTTCTATCTGTAGCTCTCTAATGATTGCATGCTTACTTATTTTATGGCCACAAATGCACCATTCTAAATACAAACAACGTTCTTGCAAAGGATTCGAGGAACATTCTGTGCATGGCATATTTCGCGCTATTTTTACATACTTATTATTACAATTACTAGTGTTTCGATCCTATTTTTGACAAGCCACCCGTATTGAATTCGCATTAAATTATATATAAAGCCAGCTTTTGTGCACTCTTAGGTTCGTTATTTAAATTTCTTGACCAATCCGAATATCTGAATTTATCTAGATTTAAGGATCAATTCAGACAGTCGGATTTCGGATCGAAACACTAACAATTACTATTAAGGGGGGAACGTCTAAAGCGGAGCAGATTCTTATAATATAATATTTTATTGAATTAACATTAGGGTTAGGGTCATCTTATATTGGGGTTAGGTTAGGTTTTAGGTAGTTATATATAA